TAAGGAGTAATTTGAGTTTGCAGCCCATTTTATTGTGCAACTTGGACTTTGCACCCCGTTTTTAAAAAACTTTATTTTTGCACCCCCAACCCCATATGAAAAGACAACAATGCCCCTCCATTAACAATTTTGTTGGCCTTCAACATATTCTTGATCAAGAGCATTTATGTCTTTTCATATGAGGTTAGGGTGAAAAAACAAAGTTTTTTAAAAATGGGGTGCAAAGTCCAATTTGCACAATAAAATAGGGTGCAAACTCAAATTACCCCAATAATTAATCAAACGGTTTAGGTAGATCTTTATTTTTATGCAATGAGTATTTTTGTCGCATACCCGCTTATAAATTTCAAATTCTCGTATAACTAGCATTTAATATTTTTTTAATTAAACTTAACAAGTATTGAATTTTTAGTATTTTGATTTCTTATATTTCCTTTGCTACTACTTACTAATATAAATATATACTTCGGGTAATTTTTTTTAAAGATTTTTTTGTTGTATATTTTTTTACATTGGCCCGCGGGCCAACCCGTTTAACCCATGGGTTAGGTGGGTTGGGTAAGGGTTGTAGAAATTCCAGGCCGTCATTAAATGGGTTGGCCCATGGGTTAGATTGATTAGTGTTTACCCTTAGGCCCGATGCATCCCGAAATTTCTTAAGGGCATTGACAAGTATTTCTACAGAATACGTGTCGCCCCGTGAGAAGAGTATTAGGTCATCCGCATAGGCCAAGTGGGTAATGCCAAGCTACGGAATCATACTTAGCAATCTACCTAGCCGCCCACTGCATCCTACCCACGTGTTTAAATTCAAATCCGCTTTTAAGGGTGTATGGATCTGATTCTTAAAATTGTTTCTGCTCCTTTAGAGAACAGGAGCAGAAGTTGAAGTATTTGGCTGAAAATACAGAAGTGCTTCTAGTGCTCGAATTATCTCTTGTGAGTTGTGATAAAGCTACCATGTATGCTCTAAATACAGGATGCTCAAGTTTTTGTAGAAATTGCTCTAAATAGGAGTGAAAACATTTTGAAATTTCAAAATAGAGCTACCATGTTTTTATTCCTAAGTAAGAGTAATTATGTCAAGTATGAAAAAAAATGTCATGTTAAGAGCCTAATAATGCCAAACTTCACAAAAATTGACTCCTATTTAGAGAATAAAAAACATGATAGTCCTATTTTAGAATTTTAAAACTTTTTTACTACTATTTAGGGAATTTTCTCTATTTTTTGTCAATAGGAAACATGCTAAATGCAACGTTTTGCCCCCCCCCCCCCCCCCCCCCCCACCAACACTGGAAAATTTACCTCATTAGTGAAAATTTTTCCTATTCGGGAAATAAAAACATGATACTCCCATTTTGGAAATTCAAACCGTTTTTACTCATGTTTAGGGAATTCTCTAAAACAATTTAATACTATCGTCCGTTCTTTAATTCTTACAACAGTTTGACTTTCACGTTTGCCAATGCACAAATTTTACTGTAATTATATTTAATTATGTATTAGTAAACATTATAAAAAGTTGATATTTTGGAAATTCACATTGATAGGAATTCAATAACATTTTATGCGTAATAATTTGATTATTGATATTAGTAGAAAATCGTGATCAAAGTAAGGTATATGAATAATACAAAAATCACAATGTTGCAAGAGATAAAGAAGGGAGAAAGTATTTCATAAAGATAACTACGGCATATTTAAAATACCACCTTTTAAAAATGCTTTGGTTTTATGATAATCTCATATTGGACACTAAGGTTTCAAATGGACCAAATTGGACCCTATGTCTACATATGTATCTCATATTAGACACTGAAGTTTATCATTCATAATTTTTGGACACTCACTTATGATTCTCGATCTTCTTCCTTTAATAAAATCGTTAGTCTTTTATTTCATTTCCTTTTTGGTGAAAATAAACTAATTTAATTACGTATATAATTTTGGAATATTGAATCTGAAGTTTTAGAATATATATTTTGATTTTGATTAATAAATTCTTATATTTAACAATTTAAAAATATATTTAGGACTTATCATTAATATGATTTTTATGAAACCTTAAGAAATATCGATTTGTTAAATTGATTTAACAATATTAAACAATTCAATTACATTATAATAGATTTTCTTGGAACTTCTAATTATATATTCTAAATCTAAATACATGAATTAAGTTACTTTCATTTTTCAGGTACATAATACCAAGAGAAAAAATAATACTTGTAGCTTTCAAGATGAAAAACTTTGGTGGGTGTTCAAAAATGACCAGAAAAACGTAAATTTGATCCTTTTAAAACTTTAGTGTCTAATATGAGATTACGAGATACACAAGTAACCATAGTGTCCAATTTGATCCATTTGAAATATTAGTGTCCAATATAAGATTTTCATATAATCATAACCGGTCCAATTTGACCTTATCCCTACTTTTTTTTTACATGTACGGAGTATTTGTTTCTTTAAATCCTTTGTGGGCTCCTTCTCTCACTCAAAAGCTGAAGTCAACGCTCGGCCAAACTCCTTCAGAAACGAGCTAACATTAGCATACTCTGCGAAGGCTTTCGTGTCAGCTTGACAGCGCAGCAGCTGCGGAAAGAACAGCCAAAAGCCCGTCGCCATCAAGAATCCCAATGACAACGACGTCGCAACAAACCTCGGCAGCCTGTACCTCCCCTTCAGTTTCTTCTTCACTGCAATCTCCACAGCCAAACAGCTCCCATGGAGAACGAAGAACAGGGTGATCTCCCAAGTGGGTTTCACCCGACCCAAATAGAAGAACATCAGCTCGTGCATCAACCCCGACACGGCAAAAGTGGACAGCACGGCGGGGAACGCCGCCCATTCCCGGCCGAAAAGGTTGGCGGAGAAGCGGAGAACGGGGTTGTAGACGGTGGGACGGAGGATGCGGTTGACCATGAGGTTCCATCTTCCACCCCAGAAGTTTTGCAGGGAGGTGGTGAAATACGGGTCCTTGAATTGTGGCTCCAAATCCAGACCAAGAAACCCGCTAGTCATGGCTGCGAGAATGGCTAGTATAATCTCCAGGTAAATGTAAATGTGAATGAAATATACGGTGAGGGTCATCGTTTTGTGATGTTTATGTTCACTGTAATTGTAGACCCCGATCATAAAACTGAGCAGAAGTCCCTTTATTGCGTAAATCAAGAATTTCGGACGGGATTTTGATCTTTCAGCACGTGACTCTTCCTGAAAATGAACATTTTCAGTGGATTCTGGATATGGATTTTCTGTGAAATTCCCATGCTTAGAGTAAGGTTCTAACTTTTCCATGGATTTGAAGTGTATGGTTTCTTGAAAATCTCCATTTAGGGAGAAAGGATTAGATTTTTCAAAGGAATTTTTCTGTGGGCTTTCTTGTGAAGTCCTATTTTGAGGGTAAAGATCAGATCTTTCAAAGGATTTTTTCCATGGGGTCTCCTGAAAAGAACCATTTTGGAGGGAAAGATCATATTCTTCCAAGGATTTTTGGTGTGGGCTTTCTTGAGAAGTTCTATTTTGAGGACAAAGACAAGATTTTTCAAAGGATTTTGGGTTTTCTTGAAAATGGGATTTTTGTGATGAGTGAACAGTGGTTTGTTTCTGGACATTAACAGGGAAGCAAGCAAGGGCAAGAAAACGAGGGAGAGAGATGGAAGGGTCAGAGAGAGGGCCATGGCCAAAAGCAAGGAGTAGTAATTTGAAGTTGGCGAGCCAAGCAAGGAAGAAACCTGTGGTGCCACCGAGATGAATGGAGTGGAGGTTGAGGGGGAGGAGAAATAAGAGACACACAACAGGGAGAAGAAAGAAGAGCCTTTGCATTCCCTTTTGCACCAACTTGGCTGCAAAATAGCAATAGCAGAGAGATATGTATGCTGAAGTCCATATCATTATGAAGTTTGTAATTTCTCCCTCCATCCAATACTTGATCACACTTTTTACATCTCTTCCTTTTTCCATGTCTCTCTTTTAGCACCAATTTAGTCTCTTCTTTGGTAAGTTCTTCTGTATAGGATCGTCTAGCGTCTTCTTTAGTAGAATTGTGATTTGCATGCTTAAATCTCAGCACCTTAAGGGCCCATGTGGAACTCAGAAAGCCTTTTATTTCTTTTTCGAGATATTTCGGGGACCCAAACACAGCCTAAGGGAACTAATGTACACCAACTATTTTGTCAATCAAGCTCTTTTGATGTTCAGTCACTCAACCATTAACTTGTATATTTGGGATCATGGATTCCACATTTGCGATCACAAGCCATATTTCTCGGTGTATATCGGACATGTGAATGGTTAGAAGATAGAACTAGTTATGCAAGCATAGAAAACGTGACATGACATGCTTGGCATTGAATAAATTTAATGCCATGGGAAATTGGGAATTGAATTTGGATAGGGTTAGATTCACATGCTTGGCTCCTTCACTCATAGCTATCACATGTTAATACCCCATATGGACTAAGATTATATTTATAAACCGAATCCTATACAAAACCATCAATCTATTACGGAGTATTATTAATAAAGCTATCTAGAAAGACATGTTGATGTTGTACAGTTGTAGCATGTTCCATAATCCACCTCTGGTTTACTCCTCATTCAACTTTTATGGCCATGCTCATCTCGTGCCTATATTTATGGATCTGGAACTCTATTCCTGCTTTCATGCAGCTCAGAACCCATTTTGGTGTATTATAGAATTCTGGATTCCCCAGTTAATTTCATTGGACAAATAGAGAAAATTCTGGCAGTTGAAGACAAACTAAACAAAGCAAATAAATCTCCGAAATTTAAGTTTTTGAAATGGATACACAGAACTTTTTCCACTGTTTGTTTTCATAAAGGCATATGATTAATAACTATCTATATCATTTTGGTTGTCTTATTTTTCTTTTTGAGTTATCTCCAAATGAATGTCACAGTTCCTATTTTGGAAAAAAATATGTGATTCTTATAATTTCACTTTATTTTACTCAAATCTCAATCACAACTTTTACTTTTCAACCACTTTATTAATAATCGTGTCAAAGTAAAATAAGACATCCAATATGGGAGAGGTAGTATGTATTTCTTGACAGCATATGTTGTCACCAACTTCATGAACATGAAGCAGTTCAAGCTAAAACAACTTCTTGACTAACATAATAATCTCCAGTGTTAATCATTAAAGAAGAAAAAAAGGCTAAGCTATATCGTCCAACACACAAAAATATATCTTACTGTCAAAAGATACCCCTCCTCGCCTCCTCCACTAGCCATCACATAAACCAATATAACACATCAGGATTTCCCACCACCTTTGAATGCTCAGAAATTTACCAGGGGATAAAATAGACTTGGAAAAATTCAAACAGTGAAACAAGAACACTCCCGACAGGTGCATATTAGTTCAAGAATAACTAAATTTATGTAGCTGGCCATTCTTTCTTAATCTCAAATGTATAGTTGATCTCCAGGTAGCATTTGTTGTCATCGTCGGTGAACTGTTGATGAAAATTGATTTGTAGGAAAAAATTATGATAATCAATCAGATATATCTGTGTAAAAGCTTAACTGCCTATACTCCAACTAAAGTGAAAGTTCAATTACTTTATACTACATAATACGTATGTGCTTTATGCAATAAAGCTCCATTTGGCAGCCTGATATGGCTTAATCCGGTTCTCAGCAGAACAAGTTGAGCTTTTGGCCAAGCTATTTGGTTGAAAGTGATGCAACCAAATGGTTTTACTTTCGGAAGATTCAGCAAAATCAACCATTTCAGCCATAAAAAAATAGCACTTACCAAACGCATCATTAATGAGTACTCACCTTTGACTTTGCGGAATATGATCCTCTAGCAAACATGCCAGAAGGGGTTGTCTCTTCAGGCATTTCGTGTGTGTAAGACTCCAGTTGTGGACTGAAGGTGCCTATCATTTGCTTCGTGCCGTCCACTATTAATATGGTCAGGGGGAAAAGTTAACACAAAGTAAAAAAAAATACTCTGGAACATAAGATAAAAATGTATGAAGATTAATGGTTACCTTTAATGCCAGTTTTCCAGACAGTGTTTGCATACTTGAGGCCAGAAACAATGTTATTGCTGACCTGGAATGAAAATGTTAGGCTGTAACGGCTGCCTTCTTTCAATGTAAACCATGGGCTGCTAGGATTTCCGTCTTCAGGGATTGAGAGAACAATATCCGATCTCTCTGGAGATTTGATTACAAGGCTCAGGATCTTAACTTCTGGATCCAGAGATTCTGTGGTTATGGAAGTGGAAAGAAACCATGTTTTCCCTATTAGATAGAGATCATGAATGCTACTATTCACTTGTGCAGGAAAAGAGTTTCAATGAAATAGATATATTTCAAATTAGGCCTCATTTGAAAGCCACAATTTTTGGCTTAATCCCAAAATAAACAAAATAAGTAGGATTTGACACACATAGCCACCATTTGGTAAGGTTGTTTTTGCTAATAGCTAGCATTGATGGAATATTTTAAACAAAAAGTGTTCAGCAACATCCATTTAGCTAAATAAGCAAGCCAGAGGGCTAATTATTCTGATTATACCGTTGAGAAGTAGAATAAGCAACTTTCTGCTTCCAAACGGAGCGTTATTTGGTTAAAATTGATGTTACTGAACATATGACAGTTGAAGGTTGTTTGGATTTCACGTACACTCAGCTTAGTTCAATAGAACGTTTCACTTTTTCAGGAAGAAAAAATAAAACATTATGTTCACGGGCATCTTTAACCAAGAGCACATTTATCTAAAGTCAGACCCAAACACACACCCCAATTACTTATGTTTAACCCATTTTAGAAGGACTTTTGAGGAAGTAAAAAGCAACACTCTTTTCAATAGCATCTTTGTCAAAATCAGTTTTGGCAAAAGCACAACATATAGTTCTAAACACACCCTAATTCTTTCTCATTTGAATATTAAGGTGTAGGATTTACACTGTATGAGAAAGAGTATCATGTTTGAGGGATAACCCAAATTATAAAAGAATTGATGAAATCAAGAGTTTCAGATCCTAAACTGCTGCTTGTTTCATTTTCTCAATTGGACGGTTGTTATCTAACAAGTTACACCGGAAACTGAAAACGATCCGATCAAATCAAAGATAGATCTATCGAAAGGTTGTGAAGAACTCGAGCAACAGATCCAAACTCATCAAAAGACAATTTCAAGAACAAAATAGAAATATATTTGTATTTAAAGAAATTAAAGAAAAGAGCAAATATTGAAGCAGGAGGATAGTAATAAATATACCCCCAACAGCATTTATATCCACACTCCCAAGAAGTTGCTCCTTCCACCTTCTCAAGCTCTCATCCTCCTACATTTAAAAAAAATCACAAATTAAACCAAGCGAAAGACACTATGAATATATTCTATAGACTATAGGTGTGAGGGTTCATGGGTATGTACCTTATCTTTCTCGAATTGTTCCTTAAGAGTAACCTGAGGGCCTAATTGGATCTTACTTTCAGTCTCATCATCTTCTTCGTCCTCAGTAGTATACATAGAACTCTCACTCATATGTCTGGAAATCTTCTTCTCAACTGCTTCACCGCCGGTTTCATCATCTGCCATTGATTTTGGGTTAATGTCCTCTGAAACATCTGGGTCTTTCCCATCCAACCCCATTGTTCCAGAACTTGAAGCCACTCCAACAACCAATGACATCAACAAACAACCTTAAAAGTCTCGGCACTCAATGCAGATTAGTAATAATTACAGAAACGCACAGAGACTAACAATAAGAAATTAAAATCGAACCTTTTCTTGTCAAAGATTAAAACTTTTGGGGGAATTTGGAGAGATAATCCAAAAGGAGAAGTATGCGGAAAAGAAATGGGTGAGAATTGAGAAAAGAACTAAAGAAAAGGGTCCAGGGGTGATCCGGAGATTGTGAACGAATGAATGGAAAACCGGTAGTTAGAGTCTTGAGAGAGAAATCGTGAAGGTCACCTCACTATGGCTTTGGTTCAACGGTATACATGATATGATGATATCTAATGATTGGACGACGAGCCAACTATACAAGACTCACTAAGAATGGATACAGGGGAGGTCACTCACTATGACTTTGTAACTCATTCTACTTCTGCTTCTTTTTTAAAAGCAGAAGTATAGAATCAGAATCAGTTTTCAGAAGCTGGTACGCTCAACTTTTAAAAAAACTGATTCTGAGAGTAAATTAGAGCTCCAGAAGTGCTTCTGGAATTTCACCCAAACACTCCTGCTTCTGCTTTTGCTTCTTGAAGGAGCAGAATCAGTTTTAAGAATCAGATTCAAACACACCCATATTCGTTTTGGTTCAATTTGAAATGGATAGAAAGATGATTATTAAACAAAAGTCATACATACTACTACTACTACGTTTTCGTTTCGATCCATTTGATTTGTTTTTTTTAGGTTTAGTTTGAAGGAGGGAGGGAATATTTGTTAAAAATAAATTAAGAATTTATTCAATATTTTAGTTGGTGAAATTCATATTAATAATCCATATTTTTAAAGATTCTACATTAATAATCTATACTGAACATTTTGATAGAAATAATCCATACATGTATACTTGTTCACAAAAATAGATTAAATGAAATGGGGTTAACTATCCCGTCTTCTGCTCAATGTTCTCTTCATTCATTTTCACCGGTGATCATATCCTTATTCTATTCTTTGCCCTTGAACAATTTTTCTCTTCGTCGTCTTTAAAGTGGGATTCTATGTTCCCCCCCCCCCTCCTGCTTAATCGTCTTTTATACATCGTATTTCAAATTCGTATTCTCCTCCCACTTTCACTCTTTTTCTTTTCAATTTTAATCGTAAACAATCCGTCAGTTAAATTCTCATTAATTAAAACGGAAACTCCCTGCTTCTCCTTTCGTCATTCGTAATCTCATCTCACTTCTTCACACTCAGAGCTTTTTACGCAAACCTGCTTTTATTCAGGCATGGTTTAGAATTGGGGTGTGTCCTTGCGGTTGACCTTTGTTTAATGGGGAAAGGTCCAAAAATGACATTAAGGATTTTAATGAAGTTCGAATTCGACACTAAAGTTTTAAATAGATCAAATAAACACAAATTTAATCATTTTGAATCCATTTGAGGGCCTATTCGATCATTTTCGAATGTAGTGCAAATAATTTTATTTTAATTGTCATCTTATTCGATCATTTAATCTTCTTCTTTGAATATTAATTCTTCCCTTAATCTATCTCTATGTTAATGTTGGGGAGTGTTGCTAAGATGCAATTAGTTAACATCTCAACATTAATTATTACTAGAAACGATCAACGAACCGATGGTTAATCGTTGATGGTTTCACAAGTAAGTAACTTCGGTTTATTAATGCACGGTCGTGGTTAATAAACTTAAGAGGGATTAATTTTGTTGGTTAAACGGAAACCGTTGTGTTGAGGTTATCAATCTCAATTGATTTCATCAAGGAGTCAAGAGATTAAATGCTACTATCAAGTCGGTATATGGCGGTGTTCTGTACTTGACTAGTAGTAAGGGTTATTAATGAACGGTCGTTGTTAATAACTACCCTCGATGAATTGGATATACTCCTCGATTGAGTATTCGAGAGGGGATAAGTTATAGATATAACAATGATCGACTAAAATATATCAACAAGTGGAAAGTAGCAATGTCAAGTCCTTTTTATCTTTGAATTAAATCACACATAAGTCGTTCATCTTCGTGTTTAATTTTAATTAAATCATTCAATCCCAAAAACCCCCTTTTATTTGCTAGTTTTATAAAAAGAGAATTATTCCTTTCCCTATGGATACGAACTCTACTTCACTATACTACGTATTAGTGTTGTACTGATTATTATTTTGAGTGCATACACGACAAAGTGCACGTCAGTCCATAACCCGAACAAAATCACGATCCAAATCTGCTTTCTCCCGAAACGCCCGTCCCCATCCCTTCCTAAACCTGATGGAGAGCAAGTAAGAGCGAAGCAGAGAGGGTAAATACTGATCTTCAATTGGCAAGATTCAAATCAGAAACACGACCTAGCGGCTCGCGACGCAAGCCCTAGGAGAAACGACCGAACTTCGACCAAGGAGATCGAAATCGGAAAAGTGCCTAGCGGCGATGCCCTAGAACTTTTTTTCCATTTTGACTTAACTCTTGTCTTGTCTGTTGAACTTATTAAAACACTCGTATGAAAACTACAAATTTAAGAGTATTTTCAATGATTATATTTAGCGACTTGCTTTCAATTTTTTGAAATATTAAAGTTACTAGCCTACCATTGGACTACATTTCCCGTCTTAGCCAATACGAACTACTTTCTAGAACGAGAAAGTTTGTACTAAAATGATAATTACCAAATATATTTAATGTATGGGGTAATTCAATATTAAATTCATTAAAATCCAATTGTAAAAACTAGGATATTGTAATACTAAATCCGGAGTATTATGTTTTGTTCATCTCAATGGAACCAAGTATTCTTACTTTTGGGAAATACTTTGAATTATGTTATTAAAAATGTAACTCCGCCATGCGATTATTTTTTTGTATCATGTCTGTACCAAGTCAGAATAAAGGAGGAGAGTATTGTGGTACGCGCGTGGCGGCCAAGAGTATCACTTAGTCATATTACATGACATGAATCAAAATATGAATATCCCTATAGTTAGGTCATCGCCCATAAGCGATGCGTCATTCCTCCGTCTGGAAGTGGTGACAAATATGCAAGGGCGCGCTACATTTCATATGCTTGGGTGCGGTGATAAGAATGCTAAGTTTGCTAGGTCATCGCCTGGAAGCGATGCACCACTCTAATGTCCGGGGATGGTGTCAAATATGCAAGGGCATGGTGGGGGTCAATGTGGTGTGAAGAAGAGAAGACAGGGTGCTAGATCGCGTTTGGCACGTGGAATGTTGGCTCTCTTACAGGAAGATCATCTAAGGTAGCCGAGGTTATGAAGAGGAGGAATATCACCATAATGTGTGTGCAAGAAACTAAGTGTGTTGGAGAAAAGACACGTGAGATTAATCTCAAAGATTTTAACTTGTAGTATTCGGGGGAGAGCGAGAACATAAATAGAGTAGGACAAAATAAGACAAAAATGGACTCTCAAATACTCTACCATTTACCAAAGTGCTAATTACCCGAGAAGTCCAGTTTTGTATGGCCTATATCATTTATAGCCCTATTACATTTTCTTTTCAATTTAAACTTTCAAATTTTCAATTTTATTTTCTTATTTCACTTTTACGCCGTTCTATGATTCTATCGACCTCTTCTGGAGATACGCAAGGGAAATTCCCTATCGGCATTCTATGGCCGTCTGGGTGAAAAATTTTGGGAGAGCCAACGGAGAGATTGAACCATGACTTCCAGCTCTCTTCTCAGACAAGGGGGTTCCATGGTCAGGATTGAGCATCTTTGATGGAGCTATGTCGGAATGCTCATCCCAGCACCACCGGGCGGGCAGGCGATCGATCTGTTGCAAAGTCTTAAACCTTTATTGTTCTAATGCTTCTCAAATTAGAGGTATTTAGATCTGTTTCCTACGACTTCTCTACCAAATCGCACAAAGTTGACCTTCATCACATCAACCTTAAGTTTCTCCTCTTCAAAACCTTCATCAAATTCAATATATCTGGTATTTCAGAGAGAAACTCCGCTGAACATTGTTGTTGTATCTTAGTGAAGTACAGGTCAAGATAAAAGATGTTCTTAATGCTGAGACCGAGCATGTATCCATGTCTTCACGAACTGCCATTAATTTCTCGCCCAAAGATGTTCTTAAAGCTGCGATCTCACAACCATCGAATTTACATCCCTCATCTCATTCTAAGGTACACATATACTCAAGTGCAGTAGCTGATTGGTCTAGGTTTGCTCAAAAGTTTGACTTCCTTATAGTAATCCAGAATTTTGTGTAAAGTAGTCTAATGAATAAGTGTTTTGTATAACAGAAAAAGTTGGGTAATGATAAATGAAATTGAAGATCTTTGTGATTGATTTATTAGACAATGAAGAGTACGTATAGTTAATTATAGAACATTCCCCTGATCATTAAGTACATAATTGTTGTTGTTGTTGTTGTTGTTGTTGTTTATTAGTCTCTTCACCCATCTTCCATATTTGGTTTGGGCATAGGTTAATTGTCACAGAAGGTGAGAAGGTTATGGATAATCAACGTAGAAAGTTGTATGTGGCTGATGTAAACACGTTGGAGTTAGAGAGTGGGATCATTTCTTCTACTGGTGAACAATCACTGGACATTCTAGATAGCTATAATATGCATGCCCTTGGTACTCGTGGTCTTGCTTTGGACTCTAATCCAGTGCTGAAATACATGTTCAGATTATCAATTTTGCCGGTGATGACCACTTTGGAACTGGCCCTAAATTCAATATTTTGCATTAGGGGAGAGACTATTGGATTAATTATTAAAATTTTAACCAATTGTATTGCTTATAAATTTTCAAGAGTTTGATTTGTTGGTTATTAGTGTGGCAGGCTCGCAAGTTTGGGGTTCGGGCAGCAATGTCTAGCTTTATTGCTTGCAAGTACAACCATTACAGTGGATTGACAACACATGGTCAGTTGCTTTTGCTTACAAGGCCCCATTTTTATGTCTAATTTTGATTTGCTTAAGTTTTGTATGTATGAAATTCATCTCACAGTCTTCTAGAAATATGATCCTAACTTCTTGGCAACAAGTCTTCATGCGGCATACCTAGATATAACAAAGATTTGCACAGATAGGGGAACTGCAGGTGAAGAAGTAGCTTTAAAACAAACTCTAGTATGTTTGAAGTCCACATAATTTTCAATTAAAATCTCAAACCTCACCTTAACTTCAATTATTATGTTTTTTTTTTTGCATTCTGTGAGATTGATTTCATTGCAAATCAATGATGTGGTTGTCGTACTCGCATTGTTAGGTGGCTGAAGAGCTCAGGCAAAGTGTTTACAGTGACTCAATAAGACCTCCTTGCCTCACTTGAAGTGCGGGTAGTGTAGCTCCAAATGGCTTACTTGCCAAGGTATTAGCTTTCTTTGGGGGAGG